GAGAGAAGGGGAGGAGAGGCTGGAGAAGAGAAGAGAGGAAAGAGAAGAAGTGAACACAGACAGCTCATTTGTCTTCTTGGTCTATTAGCTAACTGTAAATGATGAAGAAAAATTGAGCAGACTCTGAGGATAGACAGTGGCGACTGAGGAACCTGCGGCCATCTCCTTCCTTCTGATGGATACAGCAGAGCCCTGAAAGAAGCTGGGGGACTTCAGAAGCTGTAGAAGTGTGTTGTGGACTGAATGTGCTCCCTCCCCTAAATCCATATGTTGAAGCATTCACCCCTATATGATGGTTTTCAGAAAGGTGAGATCTTTGGGAGGTAATTAGGTTTATTGGAATTCATGAGGGTGGGTACCCTCTTGAAGGTATTAGTGTTCTTGTGAAAAGAAGACACCAGACTGTGCCACACTCCCCCTTCTAAGTGAGGGCTCGGTTCTTACCAGAAGCTGAATTAGCTGACATTTGGATATTAGACTTCTCAACCTCCATAATGGAATGAATTCCTTAATATATGACTTCAGGTGCCTAAGTTTGGATTGCCCAGTCTTCTGAACAGTGAGGAAGAAATGTCTGTTGTTTATGCTACCTGGTCTGTTACTGTACCTGGAGTTACAGAGACACAAAAGAAACAAGATCAAGGGCTGCCAAGGCGGAAAGTGCTCGGTCCTCACAGGAAGAGTAGGGGGGGTGGCCATGCTGTCTTTCCAGAAGGAGATGAGACTCCGAGCAGGGCAGGGCCCACCTCAGAACAAAGCATTGGGGTATCTTCTGCTTGGGCCCCTTGTTCATTTTGCAAGGCTTGGGAACTGATGCGATCTGCTTCTCATTTTTAAGATATGGTCTTGGCTTGGTGTAGAAGAAGAGGATACCATTTGGGAGGGGAGTGAGATCGTGACTGGAGCAGGTGACAAGGAGAGTTGAGAAAAGTGGTCAGAGTAAGTGTAGTCTGAAGGCAGAGACCTGGGATTTGCTGCGGGCTTGGATATGGAGATAGGAAAGAGAAGAGGCAAAGGATTGCTGCTAGATTTTTGGCTGGGCAAAGTCCTCGAAAAAGATCAGGGAGGAAAACTTGTGAGCGCATGTACACATGGGAGCGTGTGTGTGCATGTGCGTGTGTGCATGTTGTCTCCAAGTGAAGTATGAGATTTCATTACACAGCCTGGTGGGGCAAGGAGGTTGGCCACAGGCCTCTGGATTCAGAGAAAAGATCTAGCCTAGAGATCACTTTTGTGATTTGCCAGGAATAAGGACTGTTATTTGCGGACTTCTGGGGGTACTCTTGAGTGACTTCTCTGTGTTATGATGATGAAAGAAGCCTTGAAGAAAGGTCTGAGTGAAAACTGATCTGAGTTTGTTTATAATAAGCTAAATACTCCATGAGCTCATCTCACTGAATCCTCACAATTCTTTAATAGCCCAGTTTTACAGATGTAGGAAACTGAGGCACAGAGCTGTGAGCCGGTCATCATGATTCTTTTAAGTACTTCACTCTGGGGTGCTGGCGACAACCTGTTCCCCAGCAACCCATTAGGGTACCTGTGCACACCAGACTTTAGCACTTCAGTCTTTGTACTGGCCCATTCAACAGCGGGGCCTTGTGATAAAAATTATGGTGGGCGTGAAATCAGGCAGCACAGGTTCAAGTACAGACCCTATTATTTATGGGATGCGCTGTTTAGGGAGAACAGAGTTTGCAGGATGTCTTGTAAGCAAGGTTTTTTTATGCCTGTTGTCTCTGCTTCACTATCAACTCCTTCTCCATTGCCCACCAGCCAGCTTCTGCCAGCCTAACCCCTTCTAGCCAACTTTCATTTTCTGGCTGTGCCAGCCTGATTACTTCTAATTGTCTTTGACTGCTTCCAGCTGGGTCTTCTAGCTGGCATTCTGCAGGAGCACCAGGCAGTCTCTCAACCATATGGAAGGAGGAGACGGGGAAGGAGAAGAGAAAGAAGGAAGCAGCTGGTACAAGTCAACTGAGACAGTTTGTTTTCAGGCTCTCTAGATCATTCAGATTGGTGGTGTTTTTGAAAGGGTTAACTCATCCAGTTCAAGACAAACGACTGTGTTTGTTAATCCCCAAAGACAACCAGAAATTTAACTAAAAATGCTTTATGGAAAGTGACTACTACTCTCTCCCCCAGGAAGGACAGGCTGGGTCTTGCTGTCACGAGCAGAAAACTTCCCTGAGTATCAGTGAATGGTCACCTTCATTCTTTTATTCCACAGATATTTACTGAACAATGACCATGTCTCAGTCACTGTGCTAGGTATGTACTACAGGGCAAATGACAACAGAATTCAACATGAAGCCTGCCTTCAATCTAAAAGGGAAGAGGGACATTTATAATGAGTAGTATTTCAGGCACAAGGAGATTGGGGCATGAGTACCGTGTGGTGAGAGAAACACAGGAGTGATAAGCTTCTTGCAGCTCGATGGTCAGGGAGGGACTCATGGGACAGGGAAGAAAATATGCCCGGAGGAAATGGGTCAGAAGCAACACAGTGGGGCTAGTATGCATAGGGGAAGCCTGGTCTGGATGAAGACAGCTGGTATGTGATGCCCAGAGTGGGCCACCAGAAGGGTGAGGCTGGAGTTCAGTTTGGGGCAGAGCTGGATAACTGCCGTCAAGCAGATAGGTTCCATACACCTAATGGGAGGACAATGCATTGTTTCATGTACTAATTTCTCTCACAGAATGGAAGTTCTGAAATCACTCCTTAAAAACCAAGGCCATTTCAGAGAACAGGACCTGCAGTTCACAAACCAGTTATTGAGCCCAGGGAGAGATGGAATTTGGACTTGTCTTTGGCATCAATCCCAGTCGATGGAATCAGCAGTCAACTTGAATCAGACCCAGGCAGCAGGCTTGAAAAAGATTTAATAGACCTGGATTTTCTCTCTTCTTTGCCCCTTTTCTGACCTCCACTCTGAGAGATAATTAAAACATGAAAAGGAAAGAAAATCGCTATTTCACTGTAAATGTCTTCCACCATTTGTGTGAAGCACTGTCTAGCTATACAAGTATCAAGCAGTTTCTGAAATTTGTTAAACCTAAATCTCTAAATTTTTGTACAGACAATATCCTAAAATTAAACAAAAATCAAATTAATACACGGGGAAGCGCCAAAACCTTTTCTGGTGCAGGATTCAGTGCGGGTTTGAGTTCACAGTGAGCTCTGCACTGCTGCTTCATTAAACATTGGTTGTGCATCTACTGTGCCCGCTCTGCTCCTTTCCATGTTACTGCCCCCTTAAATCTGACCACTCAATTAGACATGAAAACAACTGAATGGGCTCTGCAGAATTGTAGGGGTAAAGTAGGGGTGTGGAAGTTCCTTAAACCCAGCAAGTGAAAAAAAATTTAAGATATGGCAAATTCTTTAATGTGGGAAAAGAGGAACAATTAGCATGCCCATTATGCTAATAAGGCGTGTGTGTGGCTCAAAGTGGCATATTTAAAATAATCTCTGTTTAACCTAGAACATAAGCGTTTATTTTGGGTCACTTTTCAGATGGGCCAGGGGGTCACCCAAACCTAGATTAGTGACTTTTGAGCCTTCCCTCATAGCAAAGCATGGAGGAAGATCCAGGGTGCCTCACTCTGTCACCTAGGAGTAAACAATGAAAGGAAGTTTGTTAGGACCGCAGCCTCTGTTTCAGCCCTAATGTGGGATGATCAGAGGTGGAGTCCGTCTTGAACGGCGGCGGCTCCTCAACAGGTAGCAGCATTTTGCAAATGCCTCTTTCCTTATTTTCGGTTGAGGAAGACACTGGGGGTGGGGTGGGGCGATCTTAGAGAGGGTCAGTGTCGTCAGAGCTGTTGCAGTTGTTTACAAGGGGTGAGCACTGTCACAGCGCTCATAGAACAAAAGCATAGCGGAGCTGAGAGCGCTGGTCCAGCTCAGCCCGCAGTCACGCGCCTCGCGAAAAAGGTGTAAACGCCCCGACTCCTACGTTGCCACCGCTACTACTGACCATCGCGGCAGCCCCTCCTCTAAGACAGCAGTTGGGTCTGCGCGCGAGCCGGGGCACGCACCCCGCCACCTCCCTATCCTTCCTTCACCTACCCAGCTCTCATTCATCCATCCATCCAGGGCCCAGGGGTTCTGCGGTGTGCCAAGCTCTCAGCCCACCCAGTTTCCGGGGCCCTAGAGCTTCTGCCTCCCTCCCCACGCGAGTGGGGTGCAGCCGAGTGGCTGCGGCTGGCGGGGGATCCCCCAGCTCAAAGGTCCAGAGAGCCCCAGCTCGGGATCCGGGCGAGCCGCGTAGCCCGAGGCAGCCCGGTTTGGGCGGTCCGGGAGCGCGCGTCTCCGAGGCCGCGCAGGGTCCCCCAGTCCGGCGCTCAGGTGACTCCGCCGCCTACTCCGCCGTCCCCTCCCTCCCTTCTCCAGCGAGGGTCGAGTTTGGCTGCTGCGCGCGGGGAAGGAGGGGCTACGCGGGATTTGAAAGTGCCCAGGCTGCCGAGCGCAGCTCTCATCTGTTCCCGCTGCCCGCCGCCGGATTAAATTTCTGCAAATTCAAATTGAATGGGGCTTTCTTCTGCTGCCTTCCAGAGGGCGCCTGCAGCCCGCCGCGCGCTCTTCTCGGGCGGGAGCGGCCGCCCGGCGCACGGCTGGGAGCGATCGAGTCGGACCCGAGCCCGTGCGGGCCACACCGCGGCCGCCGGAGCCGAAGCTGCAGAGGCTCTGGGGCCCCCGGACCCCACCACGAGGTCGCGCCCCTCTCGGGCCAGTGCGGCTGCTCGTGTACCAGGGCAGCGCGCCTGTCATTAGCCTCCTGGACGGGACCGGGGGCGGGATCTCAGAGTCCCGCCGGCGGCCCGGGCGACCTTCCGAGGCAGAACTTCTTGGGGGCGGGTCCCGGGCCGCCGCTATTGTCTGCGCGCCGCGCGCGGTGGCGCGGGGGGCGTGAGCGTCGCGGATCTGAGCGAGGGGCGCGGGGAGACCCCAGGCGGCGGCGGGCGGAGCCGAGGAGCCGGAGGAGGAGGAGGAGGAGGACGGGGAGGAGGAGAAGGCGGAGGCGCAGCGAGCGAGCGCGGGAGCCTCGCCGGAGCCGCGCGGGCTGCGGACCAGCGTGATGCCGGCGGCGGCGGGGGACGGGCTCCTGGGCGAGCCCGCGGCGCCCGGGGGCGTCGGCGGCGCGGAGGAGGCGGCCAGGCCGGCGGCGGCCTGCGAGGGAAGTTTCCTGCCGGCCTGGGTGAGCGGCGTGCCCCGCGAGCGGCTCCGCGACTTCCAGCACCACAAGCGCGTGGGCAACTACCTGATCGGCAGCAGGAAGCTGGGCGAGGGCTCGTTCGCCAAGGTGCGCGAGGGGCTGCACGTGCTGACCGGAGAGAAGGTGAGCCGCGGGGTGTGGGACCCCCCGTAGCCCTGGCGCCGGAGCGCCGGAGCGCCGGAGCGCGTCCCCTGCGCCCGGGGGCCTCTGTGGTGACAGAGGGGTCGCGCGAGGCGCGCGCTCGGGTCCTGGCCCTGGTCGTCTGGTGTTCGCTGACGGGTGGTAGTGGGTCGGTGCCCGGGGAGGTTGGCGGTGTGTGGGGGGGTGCGAGTGATTTACCCGCGAAGCTGCCCCGCTTAACCTTTCTGCTTTTAGAATAGCGCCGCCTGGCGGACACCAGCGCGGGGCTCATGGCCTAGAGGTTGGGGTGGGGGCTCCCCTTCCTCCGCGCGCGCGAGAGGCAGATGGGCAGAGAGGCAGGAACCAGGACTGGAGGACGCGGGCCGTACTGTCGGGGTGTAAGGGGTCTGGCGAACCCATTAGCCAGTCCTTGGGGTCGCTTAGAGTTTGGTCCTTTCCAGGGGTCTGAGAAAGTGTGGGAAAGGCCCAGGTCCTGGAGCCATTTGTCTCCGCCTGCGGGCTGGAGCAGCTAGGGAGTGTTTCCTGCACCGAGGAGGGCTACACACACACACACACACGTCCTTCCCCCACCGCACACGTCCGTACCTTAATCTGTGCTTCCTTCTGTTCATCCTTCCCCCCACCTGCACCCCGTTTTCTCCCACATTCTCACCTCCACCACTCTCATCCCCTTTCCTGCTTCTTCCCCACCCCTCCGTGTCCAGTCAGCCCCTGGTTGTGCAGTAGAGACTTCACTTCTGGCCGGTTCAGAGCTACCTACGGACAGCCCCAAACTTTAGAGGTCAGGACATGCTTCCTTCTGTTGGTAAAAGAGGGCAAAGCAGAGGAGGACCCCCTTGCCTCCGAGACCTGCAGGGACACTTCCGCAGCCCAGTCGGCAGTCAGTGGTCGAGTGCAGGTAGACCTCAGGGCACTTAGAGCTGTGGGGAGAAGCACAAGCCACGGTGGCTTAGTCTGGAGGCCGGGTTACCCCGGGCCGGGCCGGGAGGCTGTGCAGTTTGGAGCTGTTCCAGGCTGCCAAGTTGGGATCATCTCGGATTCAAGACTCCCGCAGGCTGGGGGCTGCTCGCTCTGGAGTGGGGGTGGGGATGCCTCTCTGATGGGAGGAGGGAACTCAAGGCTTCTTAACTGAGCAGCAGTGGGAGAGATGAGACTTCTGCTCTGGGCCCTGGACTGCTGCCCTGCGAGACTAGTGCGGCTAAGCCACCCGCCCTCCTTCCCCTTGCCTCATCTTACCTTTAATCTCTCTCCGTTTCCCTGCTTCATCTGGAGCCCCCTGCCTTCGGGCGCAAACTTACGATCACCCTGACCATTTCTCCCGTTTCTATAGCTTTTCCAGTTAGGGTGCGCCTTTATTTTGGGAGAGCTGGGTTGTGGGGAGTAGTTTGTTAAGGTGCCTCTGGCCCGAATTTCCAGGCAGAAGTAGTCAGTGTGAACTCCCTTGGGTACCTCCTTAGAGAAGCAAACCACTCTCAGCTCATTCTCATGCAAAGAAATGAGTGAACCTCACTTTCTTCCTTGACTGCAGTGGGGGGCTCCACTAGGCACTGGGAGTTGGTGGAGTAGGGTCGGTGGTTTAGGGTCCTGTGGTCCTGGTGAGCTCACTGGTCCAGTCTGGGTGGAAATAGGCACTAGGAATTTATTTGCTCTTGAAATGTAGAGGTTAGACAGGTCGTGCCTGCTTTCTTTCTTTTTTTTTTTTTGTCTTTTTCATTTTTATCGGTACCGGGGATCGAACTCACGACCGCCTGCCGGTGCTTATGCCGCTGAGCTAAATCCCCAGCCCCTCCTGCTTGCTTTCTAAAGGTAGCCCAGGGGCTGGAGATTTAGCTCAGTGGCGTAAGCGCCTGCCTTGCAAGTAGGCAGTCGTGAGTTCAATCCCTGGTACCGATAAAAAGGAAAAAGACAAACAAACAAACAAACAAAAAAAATAAAGGTAGCCCAAAGAGGTGGATCTGTATGCTGACCACACAGTGGCAAACACGCATCTTGACTGTTCCCTGCTGTTCCCCCAAGCTTGTATTGGCTTCTGTCCACTTTCTGGTGCTGGGCCGTTGTCTCAGGCTCCTCAGCCTGCATTTTTGCTCCATCACATAAAGCTCTTGGCCTGGGCTGAACTGCCCCGGAATGTATTCAGGGCTCAGTCCTCAGCCCCAGTCTTTTGGAGGGAGCCCTTTACCACCACCCCATCCGAAACACAGGAAATCATCGCCCAGATGTGTTCCAGATGAGGAGCCTGGTGACTGCCCCTGATGCCCAGCCCTGTTTCTTCTTGTTTTTAACCTTTCCTGAAGATGAGCCTCATTTCAGGTTTGCATTGAGGAGAGCTATTAATTGGATGTGAAATGATTTCCCTGGGTCAACTGATTTGATCTAGTTAGGAAGGACTGCGGTTCTTTGTGGGGAGGAAGAGGCCCGGGGAGGATGTTTATGTTGAAAAATTTGGTTTTCCTGCTGTGTTTTTCTCTAGTGTGAGAATCAGTGCTCTGGGACTGGATATTAACTCAGTCAGTTGCAGGCTCTAAGGAAACAATTGTGTCATTCATAGTGTTTATCTCCTGAATCCAACACCTTTAATGCTTAGTGTGGGGTCTAGCAGATTGTAGAGATTAAAGTGTGTATGTGTGTGTGTGTGTGCACTGCGTGCGGGTGTCCATGTGTGCAGCTATGCTTGGGAAGGATCACTGGGTTAATGAGGCCCCATTCCCACTCTTGTTTTGGATATGGCCTTAGTGAACAGGTCAAGGGGAGCCTTTGATGTGAAAGGAACTTGGAAAGCACCTTTCCCCTACTTTTTCCTCTTTTCTTGGGGTACATACTTTTTGGTTAAAGCACTTCACTTTGCTTCTTTCCGTTCCTCTTTCTTTCTTTCTTTGTTTCTTTTTAACGGACAGACTACAGGGCAAGGGAAGTGAAGTCATGAACACTATAGTGAGAAATAGGTGTAAACTCCCTAGCCTATCCTGGAAGGAGTCAAGTCATTTCATCTTGGGAAATCAGTTAATGAAACAGAAAGGGATGATTGAGGGGCACTCCAAGTCTCATCTCTTTCATGGCTGCATATTCAAACAATACTTTTTGTTTTGGGTGTCTTGTGCCAGAATCCAGAGTACTGCTGATTGAAGGCTGCTGGTGGTGGTACACGTGCATGAGCACGCATGCACGCAAGAGCGTGCGTGTGTTGTGTTGTTAGTGCACATTTCCAAAATGCTTTGGGAGAAAGCCTCTGTAGTTTGCCAGGAATCGCAGGCTGAATCCACACGACAAAGGAGACCCTTTTTCCTGACTTTCATTTCAGGATTTGATTCTCTCTTATCAAGCGTCGCCTTTTGCCAGAAGGACAGTGTTTTACCTGTCTGTCCTCTGAAGTTGTTTGTTTGGAAGTGCTTTGAAGCTAGATGACCCTTTTACTGCTTGAGAGGGTGGCTTTGGGGGAGACCTAATTTTGTCCTCCTCTGCCTTTGAGTTATTGCAGTCTTTGCCAGTCTAGCTTGAAAAAGAACTGTTCATTTGATTATGTGAAATTTCTTAATTGGTAGGTTCTCAGTCGGGGACTGATGTTTAAACTGGGGAAGATGATCACAGAGTTAGAATCTGAGAAGTATCACGGTTTGTGGCTTTGACTCAGAGAGCAAAGTTGCTAGCAGGGGTGCAGAGCAGTGATTTGGGGGAACCCAGAGAGCTTGTGCATGTTGCCCCTGACATGGTCCCTGATACCTGTGACCTGCGCAGCCTTTGATACATACAAAGTAATTATCGCATCTTAAAAGGTTGATAAAATGTAGTGGAAAAAGCTTGGTTGAGAAAAGTGTAAGTATGTCTCAAAAGTAGAGCTAGTTTGGTAGAAACACCAAAAACAAAAACCCAAACAAAATAAAACAAAACAGCCCCCTCCAAACCAAATCCAAAAACAAATAAGCAAATAAAAAGCCAAACCTATATTATAAGAAAAAATGGTCGCTACCATCATTATCTTCCTCTGTGATTAAGAGACTTAACTGGCTACATAAAACGATTGCTTAAGATATTTAAATGTCTTGTAACCTTTGGATTTTATTTATTTATTTATTTATTTATTTATTCTTTTGTCTTTTTCTTTTTTATCGGTACCAGGGATCGAACTCATGACTGCCTGCTTGCAAGGCAGGTGCTTATGCCGCTGAGCTAAATCCCCAGCCCCCGACCTTCGGATTTTTTTAAAGCATATTTGTCACTTTCATTAGAGCTGTTTTTGGACTAAAAATAAGGGTTGCCTGCTTAGCGAGTTGCCAGTAGTCTTGGGTAGAACATGATGGTGCCAGATACCTGGAGAGAAGGAGTTACTAAAAATACCGTTTACTATGCTTTGCAGAGCAAGGAAATATGACTAATTTTAGAGGTGGCCTTTTGGCAGATCTGTTTTTAGCAAGTATTTCTGACACAAACAGGTGTTAAATCCTGTATTTCTAAGTGCCAGAAATGTAAGGGGTAATAGCTCAGAGGAACAAGAAATGGTTAGAGAACTGGAAATTCCTATTACTCCTCAGCAGGGACTTCTTGGCAAGAAGAAGGCCTTTGCAAAAGCACCTGCTTGGTGTGTCTCGTGTGATAAAGCAGTGCCTGTAATTTTGCCAGATTGCACGTTGCAGTCACAAGTTCATCCTTTTGAACTTGGTGCCTGGCCTCATCTTTTTGAAGTACTTGAGAATCTTGGAAATTGGCACATAGGGCATGGTTCATAGTGTTCATTGATAAAGGTCCCATAAACTTCAAAGAGTGCTTTGAGTCAGCACAACCATGCAGAGAGGTGCCCATGAAGAGTATAACCCAACATTTTCTCTGCAGGTGTGGAGTCACAGCTATAGGTTTGGTGTCTGTACATAGCAATCTGATGTGAGTCTGGGAGGCTGTAAAACTCTGCGGCTGCTGACTGTTCCTGCCTAGTACAGCAATCATCTATCCCAGGGGGGATTGTCCCAGAGGTGATGGGGAGTGGCAGCCAT